AAGGTGGGGGGGGAGGAAGGGGGGGGGGAGGAGAGAGAGAAGCGACTAGTCCAGTAGTGACTCAACTACCCAATAAGCAAATGCTTATCAGGTAATCAACTACTTGCTTACATCCCTAATTCTAAAAGGGCTGAAGTTATAGATTGCTGATTACATACCTAGAGGTGGTTTCTGATGAACTTTCACAAAGTCTGCACCACATAAATGATTGAGTTTCTCTTTGGTCCCATCATTATATAAGTGAATTAACAGGTTCTTTGGAAAGTAATGTTCCATTTCCTTTAGTTTCAGGGCTCCTATACCATTTGCACAATCTATCTTCAGGTACCTCTGGCCATCTCCAGAGCTGCAAGCCTTCAGATAAGAGAGGAGGGGTATTAAAGTGAACTACATTTCTGGATAAAAACCAACAGCTCTCCGCACCTCCCCACTCCACCAGGAGACAAACAAGTTTGAAGTGTTCTTAGTCGTTTTTGCCTTGTATGCAGAACATTTTGCACATTTTACATGAAGGTAAGCAATGATTTATTTAGGGAGAATTTAACGGCTCTCACTTGTTTTGTCAGCTCCCCAAAAGCTTTGGATAGTTTCTGGTAGTAACCTTCCACTGTTGCCTTCCCATAGTGCTCTTGAGTATTTTGACAGCAGACCATGTAATGCAGCTGGGGTGTTGTTACCAGACCATAATCTATTATAAAATAAGTCAGAATATTAAAAGAATACAAGGGTCATTACTATTTAGATTTTTGTTTACAAAATATTAGAAAGACAAAGTGGGTGGGGTAATTATTGGACTAACTTCTGGTGGAAAGAGAGATAAGCTCTTGCGCTCTTCTTCAGCCCTGGAGAAAGGCACTCAGGCCTTGTGCATGAAAAAATTAGGTCACTTTAACTATGTTGGTCAGAGGTGTGAAAAATCCACGTTCCTGAGCTGCATGGTTAAGTGGACCTCAGTCCCCATATCAATAGCTGCAGAATCTTTTCCCTTGGCATAGATAGCACCCACAATGAATTGCTACAGCACCATAGCTGCAGCAGTTCTCCTGTAATGTTTTATGTTTAGGCAAGCCCTCAAATTGTCACAGCTAAATACAGAGTGGAAAAAATTGTGTAGTGTAAGTAGTTAAAGGTAACACTATACAAGGTGAAGTGGCCTATTAGAACCGCTGCAGTCACAGGATGATAAAAAAGAGGAAGGGGAGCTAATTGTGTATAACAACAATCTGTACAGTGTATTTATTGAAGACTATGGTTTTTAATGTCTAATAAGGTTATCAATTCCCTGGCTTGTCTTCAACACATTCAAAATATGAACCTGGGAGCACCTTCAAAAGGTCAGCTCTGTGTGGCTTGAAAGCTTGTCTTTCACTAAAATAAGTTAGTCCAATAAAATTTATCTTACACTAAATCCTATTTAGAGGCATACAATATTTACTAACATATAGAAAATATTTTGCAAGAAATCTATCTTAAAAACCATTTCACATAAATTTATATAGAGAATTTTACACTGACATTAAAATCATCCCACCACACACACAAAAAAACCTCCCACTATAAACAGTAATGGAAAAAGTACACAAAAAAAAATCCCCCACTATAAACAGTAATGGAAAAAGTACAAGCTACAACTTTAGGTCTATTCACACTTAAATAAAAACTTCAAATATAATGCATAAGATCAAATAGCAACATACCATGATATTGACCACCTAGAGCACATACGCCATCTATTACTGATTGTGAAAGTTTCTCACTGCTAGGTCTGAAAAAGAACAAATACAATCACTAAGTTTTAAGAAAACATTATGCAGAAATACAAACCTAGGTTTCCTTCTTTTGCACAGGTGGAGAAGTTCAGCCAACATGGTTCTCCATGCAGAATTAGATTCCCATGTGTCATGAAGAGTGCATCTACAGTGCATCCTTAGCTTGAAATAAGCTATGCAATTTGAGCTACGCAATTTGCATAGCTGATTTCCAAATTTGGTGCTGTCTATACAGCACCAAATTTCAAAACAGAGAACTATTCCGAAATGTACTTTAATCCTCGTAGAATGAGGTTTACAGAGACATCAAAAGAGCGTGCCCGTTATTTCAAAAACACAGGTGTGCTATCAAGACGCGGAAAAGGCTATTTCGGGATACTGGAAGTATCACCCTAAGAGACTGTAAGTATCACCCTAAGAGACTTACATGAAGAGTACGGAGTTGATGTGGTAATGGTATCACTAACATGAAAAGACCCAATCTAATGTCCTTTGAAATCTAAAGGATCCCTTCTGACCTCATCAGTGGGCACTGAATTAGGCCCAAGAAGCATATTGTGCGTGTGGAGAGTTAGACGTTACCATAACAAACAGATTTAAAGTGAAGCATATGTGACGTGTATTGTGGTGGCATTAGACAGTCATGCATTCGATGTACAGACATTTCAGTAGATAAGTTGCCTGTGAATGCAGCTTTGGTAGTTCAACATAGTCTGTCAAGTATAATAGTATTTATGCAGGTACCTGGTGTCTCTACCAATAAAAACTGAGGCGTGTAGGTGCAGATTCACCACTTCTTTCTGGCAGATCTCAGTCAGTATGCTCTGTATTTCCTGCTCATCTGCATTAGCCAGACATGTAGCATATTCTTCCCAGGCAGAGGTCAACATTTCACCCAGTGGGTCAACCAACTTTACACCATTGTCTTCCTTAGAAGAAAATAAATGTACATATGTCTAAAAGTGAGAAACCCAACCGGATTTCTTTAAAGACAGAAGATAAATATAGATACATCCTTATGGCTTCATTTAGGCCTAAAGAGTTACTAATAAAAGTTGGCCTACCTACCAAACAAATCCATACACAGTTTGAAATCAGTAACACAATCAACATATTAAGTCACTATTTTTCTGGTAGTTCTGTAAAAAAGAATCAGTTGATATCAAACCGATAGAATATTTCAGACTATGGAATTGCTAAACTTAAGTGCAGCAGATAAGTAAAGCAAACGCTTTCCTTATGAATGTTGCACCCTGAAAGCCAATGTCAACTTAGTTTAAATAAAAAAAAAAAAAAAAAAAAAAAAAAATTCACAGAGTTTGCTGAAAGGGTTTGATGTCCCTCAGATGTACTCCGTTTCTTGTGCTGCTAAATCTTCATAAAAAGCAGAGAGTACATCTGAGGAAAACCAAACCCTTTCAGTAAACCCTGTGACTCTCCATTAAAACAAAGGAGACTCTAAAGGAGACTCTAAGGTTCTGTAACAGATTTCCTTTCAGACTGGAAAGGTCTAAAAACTATAAGCAAGAATTGGGGTATGACTGTGTGGCAAAATAGCTTCCAACATGCAAGTAATGTTATTTGTGGTTAATAAGACTATTCACATGCATAAATTAAGCAAAAGTATTCACAGGATCTGGCCTCTAAACACCATCAGTCTCTCCCAACTCAGAGATTTTGGTTCTCCTTAGGCCGATACAGGCAATCCCCGGGTTACGTGGGTCCGACTTAAGTCGGACCCCTAGTTACGAACCGGGGGCAGGGGGAGGCCGC